CTAGCTCCGCCCCCACCAAGCCCCGCCCACCGGTTTCCAGCCCAGGTCCACACGCCTGGGACCTCTGGACCAACCTTGGACCAAAGAACCCCGCCCTCTGCATGCTGGTGCAAGGGCGTCGCTCCGCCATCCATCACCTTGGAGCCCCAGTCCCCCAGGCGGAGGCAGAAAGAGGTGCAGCCCATTACCACTCTGGAAAGAACCAGCAAAGATATGGGGTGAGTGGTGACCCACCCGAGAGAGCCAATGGAGGTCGGAACTCATAAGCAACATCTGCTCCCTAGGACTGTACCGCTAACGACCATTTATTGTTATAGAGAGGCCTTGGGTGACAAAAAGTGTCTTGCTCTTTCAACCCATTATTATTCCTTTTATTAGATGGGTAAACTGAGTCCCAGAGGAAGACGTGTCCAAGGTCACGTAGCCCAGGAATAAAGGGCCCGGCCTGGAACTCCATCCTTTTTCCCTCCAGTCAGGGTGACACGCTGACGACCAGAGAATGCAGGTCACAGTCTTCTCACAGCCATGCCACCTCTCTGGGGTCACTAGCCAGTGTTTATGGAGGGAGGCTGCACCTCCATACCTGTAGCATTACCTCACTTTGCTTTATTTTGGGAGAACTATGGTAATACCCAGTGGAAAGGAGTGACTTACGGCAAAGTCGGTGACCCAGCCTGGAGCCGAAGCTTCAAATGCTCAGCGTTCACTGGCCCTCCCACCTGCCGCCACTGTGGAATGGAAAGGGAATGGGAATTGGATTGTGCACTCCAAGCTGTGACAGTCTTGAAGGGGAGGGTCCGTAGGAGGGGAGAGCGTGAGTAGGAATGGAGAATGGAGGAGAGAGTAGTTAGTGAGCCCAAGCAACCTGCAAAACACACAGCATCCCCAATTTAGGGTTCTAGGGATAGCACCTACCCTCGACATTGTTATTCCAAATGAGACCGCCTGTGCGCTTCCAAAAGAAAAAAAAAAAAAGAAAGAAAAGCCTAGAACACGTGCCACATACAGTGGTTGGAAGTGATGGGGTTAACCCAGGAGAGCTTCGCGGAGGAGGTGAGGCTTAAACGGATTAGGCAAGCTGGGCGGCGAGCTGGCTGTTCCGGCGGGGGAGAGCACAGCTCTGCTCGTGCCAAGGTTTGCGGGCGGCTTGTGCAAAGGGATTGTACTGCGCGGTGGAGCGGAGCGGGAAGAATGAAGGGGTCTGTGCGCGCCCTGGGCGCCGCGCCTCAGCCCACGCCGCACTCTGGGCGGGAGCCAGACTTTGCTCCGCGCCCACTCGGCCTCCGGGCCCGAAAGCTCCGCTGGGTCGGAAGCCCAATTAGGCCATGGGGAGCGAGGAAAGGTGGGGAGGAGGGGGGCTTTCTCCTTCCAATCTCCCCTGGATGCGTGGGAGACTGGGGGCCTCCGCTCTTTCCTTGGTTCACAGGGGCGCAAACTGAGGCTTGAGCGAGGAAGCCACTGCCAAGGTCACTTTGTTGGCCCGTGTCAGAGCCAGGGTAGAATTCAACTTTCTGGTTATGCCAGGGTGCCGGGCACGTCCCGCCGGTGTCGTCGGGTTTTGAAGCTTGGACCCGGTACTGGAGCTTCCCTAACTCTGAGCTCCCTGCAGCTGGGAGCGGAGGGACCGCTGCGCACCCCGCGGCACCGAGGCGGTAACCTCGCTGGAAGTGGTCGGTTGGCGAGCTCGAGAACCGGGAGAACCCACGGGGCCCTGCACGAAGAACCCTTCTTGGCACGCCTCAGCCGATGACGACAACAGGGGACATAACAACAATGGCTCCTCAGGGATCTCCTTCCCCGGGCAGTCCAGAGAGCGCAGACAGCAGCCTCAAGTGTCCAGGAGGGGGCGCAGACGCTGGCACGTGCCAGCGCCGCCACTGGGTGCGGAGGGGAGCGAGCAGGCGGGCCTGGGAAAGGCGAGTCTGAGCCGATGAATGACAGGCTCCCAGATGTCGGGGCCGCCAGACGCCGCCTCCGGAAACCCAGGGCGCCCGGGGTGGGAATACCAGCGTTGTTTTTGCTTGGAAATTTCTGTGAGGAAAGCCTGGCAGTGAAACGGGGTGCTTACACCTGTTTCTCTAAGAGCCATCAAGTGGCCCCATGAAAATCCCTGCAAAGGGTCCTCTGTGGTACCAGACCAGAGGAAGTCATGCTACACCTGGATAGAAAAATCATGTGTGAGTAAATTCCGGAAGGTCAGTTAGGACTGAAGCCTTGTATGGACCTGAAGCCTTGTAAGGACTACAGTATTCATTCAACGTTTATTCAGCTCTTACTCCCTGTCATGCATCCTGCCAGCCAAACCTGGGCTTGGTGCTGAACAAGACAGGCTCCTTCCTCTCCTGACTTAACTTGACTGCAAGTGGTTTGTTTAGTTTAATTTAGTTTTGTTCTAAGGTGTTTGCCACAGGGGATATATGCTTGCCAGAGATTGTGAGAGGGAAAGTGAGAAATCATCCCCCAGGGAAGATGGCCACCACCCAATTCTTTCTCTGCCATTCTCCTCCTGGGATTTTGGGTATGCATACACAAGTGCCTGTTGTGATTTTCAAGCCAGGAGGCTTGGGACTCGAACCATGGTCAGCCATGTGGGAGTCCAGCACTGTAACCACCATGCCACCTGCTGGCCCCAACTACAAGATGTTTTTTCCTCCCAGTTCCTAGTTACTGATTTATCTGCATACTCTTCTTACTGCCTATGTTGCCCACCTCAGGTATCAACATGCCCCTAGGTGAGGCACTGGGCTGCTTAGTCCCACAGGCATGGCGCAGGCAGAAAGCCTGGGGTGTTCCCAGGAGGACAGCTCAGCGCCAGCTCCCAGAGGGCCTCTGGCAGAACAGGCCAGAAGAGGGCTAGAGGGGGAGCCAGGCTAGAAGTTCATGCTGGACCAGTTCACACCAGGAGGGCAGAAGAGCAAAGCCCAGCACTGATGTCCAGATTTAAACTGGGCTAAAGATCTTGGGCAAAATTTGGAATCTAGGTATGTAAGCAAGAGTTAACCCTTGAGAGGTCCAAGCCAAGCTAGAGGCAACTTCTTTTTTTTTTTTTGGAGAGGTTTTTGCTATAGGGCGCGTGCGCTTGCCAGACAGACAGAGAGAGACAGAGAGACAGAAAGCGAGAAATCACCCCCCAGGGGGGATGGTCACGCCGCAATCCCTTCTCCTCTCAGGATTTTGGGCACACATGCATACATGCCCGGTGTGAGTTTGAAGTCACTGGATCCAAGACTCAAATCCTGGTTGACCATGTGGGAGTTCAGTGACAACCATTGCACAATCTGCTGGTCCCTGCAGGCAACTTGTAAGGGTTGGAGAGTCAACTTCTTTTTTTTTTTGGAGAGGTTTTTGCTATAGGGCGCGTGCGCTTGCCAGACAGACAGAGAGAGACATAGAGACAGAAAGCGAGAAATCACCCCCCCCCACGGGGGATGGTCACGCCGCAATCCCTTCTCCTGCATTCTCCTCTCGGGATCTTGGGCACGCACGCACACGCACCCAGTGTGAGTTTTAAGCCACCGGGTCCGGGACACGAACCGCGGTCGACTACATGGGAGTTCAGCAACATAGCCATTACGCTAACTGCTGGTTCCCGAGAGTCAACTTCTATTCAGATGTCATTTCCAGGAGGCCTCTCGTGACTCCCTGGCCTGCCAGGCTGGCCGTGTCATCTAGCCATGCTGTAAGGAAGTTGATGGTTTGTATCTCCTCACTAGAGTGCAAGCTCCCTAGGGCAGGAGTTGTATCTGTCTCCTGTGTCCCAGCACCCCACTCCTGGCTGGCAATAGTTCTCCGTTCATCCATCCCAGAAAGGAGGGGCCGCTTGTCAGAGTAGAAGCAGGGTGGAAAAGGTGGGACTCATTAGCCACAGAGAGGATGAAGTGCTGAGGCTTCGATGTCATTGCCTCAGGGAGGCCTTCCCTGGCCCCCAAACTAGGTCAGTTCCCGTGTTATATTAATACATTCTTATTATACACTACTTTCTTTTAATTTATTTATTTCTAAAATTTGCTGTAGAGCATGTGCTGTTCTCAAGAGAGAGAGAAAGTAAAAAAAACACACCTCCCCCCAGGATGGCCATGCTGCAATCCCTTCTCCCCATTCTGCTCTTAGGAGTTTGGGCACAAGTGAGTACACACACACACACACACACACACACACAGCATGTTTATCAAGCCGTAGGGTCTGGCACTAGAACTGCACAGTGGGTCGTGTGGGATCCACCCACCTCAACTACCACACCACTGGCTGGCCCACACACGACTTTCTATTTCTTAGCACTTATCATACTGCAATTTAAATTGTCATTTGGGAACTATGTGTTTCCACATTTGACTTCCAGGATACCATAATCTGACTTTCCTTATTCTATTTTTCTTTTTTTGGAAAGGTTTTTGCTTTAGGGCACATGCACTCGCCAGGCAGAGAGAGACAGAAAGCAAGAAGTCACCCCCTAGGGGGGATGGCCATGGCACAATCCCTTCTCCTCATTCTCCTCTCGGGATCTTGGGCACACACGCACACATGCCTGGCCTGAGTTTTAAGCCACTGGGTCCGGGACTCGAACCGCAGTTGACTACGTGGGAGTCCAGTGACATAGCCACTTTCCTTATTCTCCATGGGAGTGCTTATTTTCAGTCTCCTTTGCTAGTTACTCATCATCTTCTCAATCTCCTAATTTTTCTTTTTTTAAGAAAAATTTGTAGGGCCAGCAGGTGGCATGGTGGTTAAGGGTGCTGGACTCCCACATGGCCAACCATGGTTCGAGTCCTGGACCTTGTGGTTTGCTTTCTCACTCCCCCACCCTCACCCCGTCCCTCTTTGGTCAAACTAAAATAAATAACTAAAGTTAAATAAAGTAATTCTTATTTATTTATTTATTTATTTTCACTTGATCAGAAAGGGACGGAGTGTCTCTCTGTCTTTCTGGCAAGTGTACGTGCCAAAACCTCTCCAAAAAAAAATTGCTATAGGACATGTATACTCACTAGAGAGAGAAAAAGAGAGGGAAAGTGAGAAAGCACCCTCAGGAGGATTGCCACACCACAATCCTGTCTCCTCCATTTCCTTCTTGGGATTTTGTACACACAAGCATAAGTACCTAGCATTTTCTTCAAGCCGCCAGGTCCAGGCCTCAGATCATACAGCTGCCACAACCACCACGCCACCAACTGGCCCATGCTCCTCAATCTTTCAGTGCTGGGTTAGCCAAAGACTTAGTCACCCTCCTCTCTCTCTCTCTCTCTTTTTCTTTTCTTTCTTTCTTTCTTTCTTTCTTTTTTTTTTTTT